TCCCAGTACGATAAGGGGTCTTAATACAATATGGATTCTCGGCTGGAAATGAATACAGCTTGAAAATGGGGTGAGTTCAAAGTCCTAATAGGAGTAGGATTGGTCGAGATGAGGTTGGATCAGAATAAGAAGTCCTAATCCGAATATGGTTTCAACTCGATTTTAAGGAGGATTTGTTGCTATAAATAGATAGCAGAGTGCATCATTCGAGCTCCCTTCAATTCAACACATAACTGCCCAACATAAACCTTTTAAACATCTTGAGATTTTTATTTTCTTTTTCCACCGACATATCTTCAGTTTGGATAAACAACACGATGAAAGCAACTGACGAACATCTTCAGTTTGGATAAACAACATTGTTGCCGTAGAATCAGCCAACCGAGGAGCACATTCAGTTTGGATAAATAGCACTATGTTGAGGCCGACTGGCTACCTATCCAGGTATCGGTTGAGAAGGGTTTCCGAATCCTTGTTGGTAGAGGTCATCTTATTAGCCTTCTCGGTGAATTAAGGTGTTATGAGTTACGATATTTGGCACATTGAATGCCGATTGATTTTATGATTAGATACTCATAAGTGAGTTTCAGAGTTCTGCATTCTGACGGCCGAACCACATTTACCATCAAGACATACATCTTTTTTGAGTACTTGTGTCCATATAGTTTGGTGTCGATTCAACGTGCTTATACTCTTATGAATATAATCACTGTGACCGAATTCGACGCCGACGATTTGTGAACTTCGCAGAACTAGCAGCCTTGTCTTCAGGCTCAAGAACCGAAGGCCGAGACTTGTTCCTTCCCCAGCCGTAATCGGAAGATCAAGAAGTCAGCTACCCGCTCAACGAGACATCAACAAATTGTACTCCTCGGCCAAGCTCTACCGACGAGTTGGCACGCCTCGCATCAACCGAAGGACGTAGTTAACTCATTAGTTACTCGACCTGCGCGGCATGTAGGCTTTGTAATTTTTAGGGTCAACATCCACTTATATATATATATATATATATATATTAATTTTAATTGGCCAAAACGACGTCGTTATGGACCAGGTTACTTTATAAAAAGAAAAAAGGCAGGCAAGTAACAGCTAAAAAGAAAAGAAAAAAAGTTAACTCGTTAGTTGTAGCAAATCTCAAACTTAGTTCCAATTCCAATTCTCGAATCCCAATCCCACTAAACTCAATCTGTAACGCCCAACTCCTACCACCCCACTTTACCAATCATTTCAACGACCACCTAAATTTCATCTTCAAATTCCAAAGTAAGTTCTTCATATCTTATTCACATTAAATTTCTAATTGTTTTAATGAATTGGTTGAAAATTTGTTTCTTTTAATGAATATATTTGTGTTTTAGACTTTTAGTATTTGTATTGATAAATTGATGCATATTTTTACTTAAACTATTGAATGAGTTGAGTTTTGTGTCAGGAGTTGGTTTGTATGATTTTATAATTATGTGTATTTGCTAATTACATTGACTTTAATTCTATTGATTGCTACTACTTCAGCAAAGAACGCTTTTTCCTCTATGAACATTGGATAATCTATAATAAATCTATAATGCATTGTTTTCAAAACATGAAAGCGTGTTGCGGACAATTGTATCTTGTATTGTTATTTGTTATAAATTATGTATGGTGGAACTATGGTTTAATTTTTAAAATTATTATATGTCTAAAAAATGTTTATAAACTTATACATATGACCATTGGAATAATGTGTCTTGAATCCGCATCTGCTGCGGGCACTCCAGTATGGTGCCTATTTCGACATATCATCTATTGGTGGGTTGGTTTATGGGTGTTGATCAAGTAAATTGAAAGTCTCAAGCAGCTCTCTATATACAAACTCCTTCAAAAAGTCTAAAAGAGAGGCGCGGACAAATATTGACCATCATAAAGTTTATGGAATCATAAACACATGATTCAGAAAATTTTATTTCAACTCATATAAATTTATTCTACACTCAATTTACTTTTTACGTCCAAATTATATTTTAGTTAAACTGTCACACTCTGATTCTGAAGATACGTTCAGGATCGGCACGTGATGCCACCACATACCCATTCAACCTTTATGTCTCACCTCCGAGACATGACCAAAACACATTTAAAGATTCAACCACGCAAAAACTTTTCTTTTATTTCATGGCTGCATCAAGCCATTCGTAGTTCTCCATTCATTAGACTCCTCTGTGAATGCTTGGGACTTTGAAGGTCGTCGATATGTCGAGTTGCCCCTTGATTTTTGCCTCCCAAAACCTAGGGCCAAAGTGACTGTCCTAGAGACCTAATTAGAATATTTAAAGGTCTATCCTAGAAACCTAACTAGAATATTTGAACTATGGAAAAATTTGTGTTTCTTTGTTCCTCTTTCTCTTTCCAAACCTTCTTATATAGTGGTTGAGAAAATGATACAATGACGAAAACGCTCATAAAAATCTCGAGCATATTTCAATCTAAATATCTCTTGATTTTCATCTAATTATCACATAAATAATTAGGAGGTTTAATACCCATGTGGTGGAATATCCTTGATTTATCCTATAAGATGAATCCTACACCATTCAACAAGGTTCTTGCCAAAAATAGTGTATCCAACACTATCACAATGAAAATGAACTTACCAATCGAATAAAAATTGTAAAAAAAAACTATTTTTTTTTTCGTTTGTTTTCAGGATCCATAGTTGTCACTACGTTCTTCCATTCTGCTATTTGAGTAGAGTTTCAAAGAAGCTTGAGTAGAGTTTCAGACAAAGTGAAGTTCTTCATTCTGCTATTTGAGTAGAGTTTTAAAGAAGCTTGAGAGGAGTTTCAGAGAAGCAGGACGAAGTGAAGTTTAGATAAGCACGATAAAGTGACAACAATAGCAAAGTTTATCAGTCATTTGGTTATCAAGTTTTTTGTTTCAAAAACTTATTAGTGTAATTATTTTTTTAAGAAACCAATAATGGCGTGTTTACCAATCGAGATTGAAATAGAGAGAAACATAATTGCACTCTTCCCAATGCTAACGTTTACTAGCAAATAAGGAATCATAATTTCTGTGGAGACCACCAAATATCAGGAAATTGGATTACCTCTATAGAGGTGGTATTTGAATTTCGAGTAGAACGTTCCATCAGGAATTAAAATTTTCTACCCAAAATACCCATGTATATTCCTACTAGACTTGGCAATTTCTTACACGACCTGTTAACACGACACGAAAATAACGGGTTTCGGGTCAACACGATAACTAATCGGGTCATTATCAGGTCACACGATAATAACCCGTTAATAACGGGTCCTTAACAAGTTTACACGAAAGTGACATACGGGTAACCTGTTTCGACAGGATAAGAAAAAAGTTATTTTAATGATTTTAATTTTTTAAACTACTAAAAAACACTTACTATAAAATGCAATAGATATAATGAACATGTATATATTGTTTATTAATTATTATTCTATATAAATTTTAAAATTTAAGTTTTATTTATTTATTTATTTATTTTTATAGTATATTATAGGCAAAGATTGAGATTAAAAATCATAAAACACATTAAAAATAAAAATATCAAGTAATTTAAAAATACCAAACACATAAAAAAAATTATAATAATTAATTTACAAGTGCTGAAAATATGAAAAAAAATATATACAAACGCTCGTAGTCGCATCCTTTACGCTTTGAGAATGGGTATATGATCGTTTGAATTTTTTAAACCATACAAATTCTCATGAATAGTATTTTCAAGGGAGTTCAAAATAAACAAAATTCATAATCATTAATGTATAAGTCTGAAAGATGTGAAAGCATAATAAATATTCATAATTGCATCTTCAACGCTTAGACGATGGTTACATGGTCGTTTAAATTTTTAAAACCCTCCAAATCTCATGAACAATGTTATTTATTTGAGTGCAAAATTAATAAAATTAATGATAATTATTGTAGAAGTGTGAAAAATGTAATCACTCGTAATAAAAAGCTTTACAACTTTCATGAAAGAGTTAACTCCGAAATTTAGTATGTATATACTAATTTAGTATTATGTTTTACATTTTTTTGTGTCAAATTATGTTTTTCATTTCATTTTTATTGATTTAAAATATATTTTTCTTAACGGGTAATGAGTTAGGTCATATTACCTGATAATATTAATGGGTTAATTTCGGGTCGGGTCATATTACTCCTTTACTTTAATGGATATTACACGACATGATCCGTTAAGCTATCGGGTATGACACGAACACGAGAAACACGACACGAATATCAGGTCTAATTCATACCCCTTTGTATTTGTTTCCCTCACAGCACGAACCACCCAACCTTCGTGATTTGGAATGATGCCGCAACAACGAATGTGTTCCGAAGTGTGGGTACTATGTACACTGGGCAACATCTGTTGGACGGGAGTTTGTTGTTAAAATTTTGTTGAGCATTTTGGTCAAGCGACTGCAGAAAAAGATGGGGAAGTGAGGGCGAGAGAGAGAAAATGAAGTAAAATTTTATCTAATAGGCTTTAGGGTTATTAAGAGGTTTTTTTTTTTTGGTCAAATGATCGATTTTGTTATATTAAATGTTAGATTTTTGAATCCAAGTCATCATGCAAGTGTTCAAAACCTTTCTACCACTATGATAAAATGCCACTTGCAGGATGATTAAGAGTTAGAAGCAAATAAAAAATGATTCTTTTATGTCAAATTTGAACAAATGTACATGTAAAGGGGCTTCTACATACGTCTAGAGTCTCCTTTAACAGCAAGAATAAATATTTTATACAAAAATTAAAAGGAATTCTCTAAAGTAATCAAAATAAAAATAAAAGAATACAAAATTTACGTAAACTAATTAACATATAAAAAAAAAATTAGTTAAAATAGGGGTACTTTAGTAATCACATTAGTTTTCATTTCGATCCATGTGAACTAGTAAACAGTTTATATAGATCAATGTCTTTTCTACTCTGATTCCAGACAACTTTACTAAACAATTTTAACGGAAATATGATTCTGATTGCTGCTCAATTCAATTCCTCCTCAATTAAATTCCTCTCAATCTGATTACCGATTAGTAGACAAGCCACAAGTCCTTTGTGGTATATATATGGGTATAACAGTCATTTACACATTTAAAAATCAATATGATGACTTGTTCCACGGTCTCAAAGGCTATAGGACAAAAAAAAAAGAGTAAGACCCAGAACCTAGCAACTCTCCTGCCGAACGCCGCCGGAGAATTACTAGTTTCTGAAAAGTAAATGACAACAACAACGTATTGACGATCGAGTATTATAATACCATGCATGTACAATTAGCTTATTTATAAGAGGCAAATGTGAACCTCCGGATGAGCTCAAACCCTGAAACCCTCAAACCCTACTACAATGAGCTCCTTAACAGAACCTGAACCTATTACTAACAAGAAGCTTCTTCACATAGCCTTGTTTCCATGGCTTGCTTTTGGTCACATAATACCCGCTCTTGAGGTCGCCAAGCACATAGCTCAAAGAGGCCACAAAGTCTCCTTCATATCCACTCCAAGAAACATCCAACGCCTCCCGAAAATCCCACCAAACTTGACCCCTTTGATCGACTTGGTCCAAATCCCGCTTCCCCGTGTCGAAAACCTCCCGGAGAACGCCGAGGCCACCATGGACGTGCCATATGACTTAATTCCGTACCTCAAATTGGCACACGATGGACTCGAGCAAGGTATTACCAGTTTCCTACAAACTCACACTCCGGATTGGATTATTTACGATTTTGCTCCTTACTGGTTACCACCAATAGCTTCCAACTTAGGAATTTCGCGAGCTATGTTTGGGGGCTTCAACACGTACACCGCATGTGCTTTCGGACCAACACAACCGGATGTACTAAGTCGCTATAGTCCTAGAACACTACCCGAACATTTTACTGTCCCGCCCGAATGGATCCCCTTCCCTTCAAAACTATTTTTTAGGCTTTTCGAAGCCAAGAAATTGTTTGACGCTTTGGAACATAACGCTTCCGGCATTAGCGATTGGTTTCGTATGAAGTCAGCGATCGAAGGTTCCCAAGTATGCCTCTTTCGGAGTTGTAGAGAAATTGAGGGGGCCTGGCTCGATTTGGTTCCAGAGCTTTACCGCAAGCCTGCGATTCCGGTGGGCTTGTTGCCACCCTCGGTGCAAGATACTGAAGACAAAGAAGATAGCAGTTGGTCCATAGTTTGTGAGTGGCTGGACAAGCAAGAGAGAGCTACTGTGGTGTACGTTGCACTTGGGAGCGAGATTAATCCTACTCAAGAAGAGTTCACCGAATTGGCTCTTGGGTTGGAGCTATCTGGGTTGCCATTCTTTTGGGCTCTTAGGACGCCGAATGGATCAACGCCCGGTAATTCGGTGAAGTTGCCGGATGAGTTCGAGGATCGAAACAAGGGTCGCGGGTTGGTCTGGAGAACTTGGGCTCCTCAGCGCCAAATCTTGGCTCACAAGGCAGTTGGGGGATTCTTGACTCACTGCGGTTGGAGTTCGCTCATAGAGGGCCTACACTGTGGAATTCCTCTTATTATGTTCCCCTTTCTATATGACCAAGGGCTGAATGCTAGGTTGTGGGACAGGAAGGTCGGAATTGAGGTACCAAGAAACGACGAAGATGGATCGTTTACAAAGAATGCGGTGGCCGAGTCGCTGAATTTGGTTATGGTGGATGAGGAAGGGAAGGCTTACAGGGATGGAACCAAAGAATATAGTGCTGTAATTGGAGACAAGGACCTCCATGATAGATACATGGACAAATGCGTTGAGTATTTTGAAAAGAATGTACATAAGGTTTGAATGCTTCTGTATTATCCCTTTGTATCTTCTGATGTTCATTTAAGTAATTGTGTTTTTATCATAAATGTTTTGCCTTGCATATCAATGTTTTCCCTGCCGTTAAGTTCCATTAGAAATTTCGTTAGTGTGTTGATGTGGCAAGCGGGGGACCAATAGAAGTAATCACATTGCACCGTGTGGATGAAACTAAAAAATCAGTAGTGTCATCAAACTATATATGCATCAAGCAACGGTTAGCATACAAAATGAGGTTTTACAACAGATGTAAGAGGCACAAGATCAGAACAGGCAGCAAGCACAGAATGGAGGAGTTTATACCGACTGTTAAGATGCAGGCAAGTTATTTACTTGAGGGAGAGGTCAGCCTATTTTCGTCCGAGTCGTGCTTTGATGAAGTATCTCCACCCATCAATTCCTGGAATCCTTCAACCTTCACGGGTGGAGCCCTCAGAACACTCATGTTCCTGCACAAGTGAGAGAGTTCCATAAAGTCAGTGAAGCATTACTCGTATGGATAAGTAAGTAATAATTGTATTCAGATTTTCCTTACTGCACTTGGATTTGAGGAATTTGGGAAGCCATCTGTCTAAATTGATTTCCCGACTGAGCATGGACATTTGACATTGTAAGGTTTGACGTTGGAGGAACTTGCTGCTGCCTAAACTGCACCTGTGGATGTCTGCTATTGAAACTGTTGAAGGCATTACCATCCATGGGTAACTCTGATGGGGCTTCAATCTTGACCTGTACCATTGGTCTTTCCTTATCCGTATCCATACCTGCTCGAGGAGCGGATGGTTGACATCTTCGCATTCTTTCTAACTGCTGCCGTTGCTGAAAAGGCACATTTTTTGAATGGGCAATTTGTTGCATCTGCGGATGCATTTGTCGAGACATCTGTTGGTTCACCTAACAATGTAATAAAATATACCATTGTTAATGATGTCATAATATGCAGAGATCAACTTTTTTTTCTTTTTCAGGAAAATAGATCAGCTTTTGAAAACTACAATGCCCCTACAACTCCATAAACTTGAGAAGCTATATGGGAAACTGAGGGGGTATGTACAGCACCCCCACAAATAACCCATTAACCATCCATAAATAAATTATATACAAGGATCAGGATCAAAACGTAAATTTATTAAGGAAACAATTGAAATTATCAATACTTGTTGGGGTAGTCGAATGAGATTCTGGTGCTGTGGCTGCAACTGAGACTGGATTCCGTGAATTTGCTGCTGAGTTTGCTGAAAATTCCTGGAGCCATCTTTGACTTGCTCCACTAGAGAGCCAAAATTACTTGTGGAAGAAACAAAAACACGTAAGTAATGGATTACACTAGAAACTTGAATTATTAGATGTGACTAACTTGCACAAACACAACAATGTTGATAATGAAAGTGAAGAGTTTAAACAGAAAGTCCAAACCTAACATCCTTAGATTTTGCTGTGCCAGTCTCAAAGTCACCGACAAACCCATTCTTAAAATTATGTTAACAGTCATAACGTGCCCTTCTATTGCTCATTCACTTTTGCTTAAAAGATAACAATCACATTAACATTTACGGGGCATCTTCCATTATGAGATTATTTGTTAAGATGAGTGTCTGCAGCAAATTTTTCAAAGAGTATACTCTTACAAAGGTAATAAACACCCTGGAAGCAGTTAATTTATTCATTAATCCAGAGCCTACAATATTCATGAAAGTTACAACTAGTAGGTCTCTACCCAACATCACGAGTGCATAAAATACCGTAGAAACATAACATCAAACTATTTTGATCAATCATTTTCCTTTTTGTCTAACCCATGAAAATTCATACCCGCTTAAGTAAAAGATCATAATTAAAATATTAACAAATGAACCAACAATCCGACAGTAATTTATAAGAAACTACAATTAGATACTCAACAAAAAAAGAGAAAAGTATAAACTTAGATCCGTAAACGCACCCATATCCCACAGTTTGAAGGAACATCTTTAGTTGTTCAAGCGCTGAGCACTGCTTTCTGTAACTATCAGCAAGAAGTTTCAAGCTGCCACCCAATTTCTGGATATGGCAGCTCAGTAACTTGGAGAAAACATCAATTGGAACTTCTGTAGTACCTTCAAACCCGATACTTATCATCATCCTAGCTACTACCATTTTAGATAACTGTGTTGCTTGCTCTTGACTAAGACATTTTTTGTTCCCTCCAAAAGCATTTTTTCCACGGTGTATGATTCCTCGTTCCATGCTGAGGTATTCAGGCCTGATGCCAAGCCTTTCAAGCATAACGGGACTCCTAGTCATTATCTGAGGCAATGTATCAAGAACTCCAAAACATTCCATTTTTAGGTTGTCATCCACTCTATTCAAAGGTGGAAGTGCACTATCGGGAACACAGTTGAACGTAAACATTGTTTCTGGGAAAAAAGATGTTTCACTATCAATTGAGTTACTACCATCTAAAAGGGAATTTGGATTCAAGTGTGATGCATCTTGGATGGGATTTCCAAATCCCATATACGGATCTTCTTTGAAAGCTACGCGTCTTTTCTTATGCCTCTCAAGAAGTTTAAGGTAAGCAGACATCTCCTCTGGAGTACGTTTCTCTGATTCTCGCTCCCCTGATGACAACCTAGACGGTTTGCCCATTCTATATCTCTCAATAAACTGATTATACCATGTCTCAGACAGCTCATCATTTTTGAATCTCAATGGTATGTTATCAATTTCAGATTCTCCATATCTTGATCCAGCACCAAAAGCTGCTTTAGATTGAGTCTGCAAACACAGTAATAAACTATAGTTATATAAGAACTCTCCACAGTTCAACTTCTAACTTTTTTTGCTCACTTTCCTCCAAAATTTCTTTTGACACAAATGCATCAATGCAGCTCAATTTATAAATGACATCACTAGGTTGGACTAGAATGTTAGATTCTAGAGTTCATATTGTTCGGGATCCAGCACTAAATAAACTTCGCCAACTGAATTGGCACATTTTGCTAAACAAAGAGGAGATAACCAGCAATGCAGCCATAGGAATTCTGCGAGATGAAATCTGAGGACTTTTTTGGTTTATACACCCATTTCCATTGAGCTCTCAGTAGCCAAGTATTTGAAACATATGAAAAAAAATGTGGAATTTGTAAGTAAAACAATGAGACTTAATTCCGCATTTTCATTAAAGGATTCCATACATATACTTCATATAATGTAGAATTATAACGAAACTACAAAAAATGCATAAACATACCTAATCCATTTAATAATTTCAACTTACCAAATACATCACATTCATGGTACAATCGACGAAAGCTCCAAAATCATACCTTGGACGGCACCAAAGCGTCACGTTGTTGAACTTGAACCCCATCCTGAGACGAATTCTCCAGAGTGAAGTAGACGTCGTCAGGGTGGAGCTGCAAATCTGCAACCAAAAACAGTGGCATCGATCAGAAGCAATGAAATTAAGCCGAAACGAAAGCAATGAGCGACTCAGAAACTCACAAATGGGATTGAGCTTGGAAACGGCGACTGAAGCAGAAGAGGAGGAGGAAGAAAAGTTGGAATTGGGGCGGAGGAAGAGGGAAACGCAGGCCTTGTCGAAAAGAAGAGCTCGAGCGCGGAGTTGGAGATGGAGGGGAGCCTTAGATTTGGAGTCCATGAAGGCTTCCCAGGTTGAAGGGGAATTGAGGAAGGGGGCGAAGTGGGCGTAAGTGGACTCGCCGAGCCATGTGCGCCAAACGTTGCAGGATTCGAGTTTACAGGCGAGCTCATAACCACGACCGTCGTCCCCGAGCAGAGCCATTTGGGGGAAAGGAGGGAGAGGGAGGGACGACTTGGATGCGGTGGTGGGGACTCGAGAATTTTTTTATTTTTTATTTTTTTATTTTTTTTATTTTTTTTATTTTTTATTTAAATTTTTTTTTATAAGGTAAATGCATTAAAGAACAAAACTTCTAGAACAACTTGTTCCAGCACGTCAAGATGAAAAGCCGGACGACCAACTTTAGGAAACAGCGGTCCCAAAACTAAACAGTGGTCCCAAAACTGAGGGTTAAACATAGAGAATCAAGATCCTCTCCGGATGCTCTTTGTGGGGATTTTGGAGATTTTCTAATCACGTCCGTTTATCGTGCATCGTATATTAATTTTCTTCAAATACTATTTATATTCAATTTTAAATAAAAAAAAATTTACAATGATTTCTGACCATACAATATACAATGAAAGGACGTGATTGGTGAATCTCTGAGATTCTCACAAAGAGGATCCGAAGAGGATCCTCATTCAAAGATAGATAGGCCGAAATAAGCTAATGCATCCGCCACAAAGTTAGTTTCCCTGAAAATATGCTTCCACTCCACAGAAAGGAACTCATAAGCCAGAATCTAAATGTCGTGCACGATGGAATGGATATGCCAGGGAATATTAAGGGCTCGTTCAAGACATGCAGGTCGACTATGATGAATCATACTATTCAGTTACTTAATAAGTACAAATAAAAAAATTTAAAATCCAAAACTTATTTTAAACTAATAATCAGAGTCACTAATGACTACTCGCTCATCACAGAAATCAGCTACGTACTAAGTCCTAGAGGGGCGCAAAATAGAAAGTGTGAGTGGCCAAATATAAGGATTTATTAAAACACCTTTGTTTTTTCACAACATAAAAACTCATTGCTGTAAAATCTGTATAGTTTCCAAAATCATACTATGTATAAGTATGAAAACCAAGTATCAGTATAAAATAATTATTCTAACAATACGAGTAAACCACACATATCTCAATAACAATATAACATGCTCATCAAAATTATGCTTACATACGAGTCCTTACAGAAAGTAGCTACATGAACATGTTATGTGTAATAATCTACTTGAGTACTACATATACGTGAAGATGGCGCTAAGCACGTCAAATATGAGTCATAGATGCAAAAGCAATTAGTTCGGGTACCTGTAATGGATCCAATGTGAGCATTACGGTACGTTTTGAACATACATGTGAAACTGGTCCTGCCCCAAACGAGTAATATAGTAACCGGTGTAGAGATGCATGATGAGCAAATAAACTATGTATGATCATGCTATTACAATTTCATAAATCCCAACAATGTAATATTTCTTAGTAAAAACATGGCATGATGGAATACATTTGTCAAAGCAATGATGGGAACCTAAAAAATAAAGCCCACTGGCTGATATGTAGTCGAGTCCTAGCCGCCTTATCTTGCTTAGCCTTCAAACTCCTCGAGATAAGTATCTCCTATATGCCCTATTTTGTTCGTTGGACATAAGGCAACTTCAGTTCTTTATTTTACCTGCTAAGGACAAGTTCTTTCCAGCATATCCTTTTATCCAATAGAAATTAAGGATAACCATCATCTATTATAAATTGGAAGCCTTATCAAAGAGAGAGGAGAGATCAGTTCAATTACAAGCAAGAGAGAAACAATGTGCTCAGTTGCAAGCAAAAGGGGAAGAACATCTTCCCCTAGCTGATGGAAAATCTCCTTTGCCTGCTACAAGCTTCCTACACCGGCCACAAGCCTAGCCTTAAGTTTTCCATTCTCCCTTGCCTAATGTCTCCTTTCATCTACTACAAAGATACCCAATCTACAAACCAAACCCCTTCCAACACATCCCTTCAACCTAATGCCTAGGGAAAAAGAGATTCATCGTACAGGAAACCTTCATTCTTGCTACAAAAACCCATGCTTGACTACTGCAAGCTTTCCAGTAAGCTATAGACTCCAACTTTAAGCTTTTACCTTTCACCACTCATCTTCTACCTTAGAAGCCTCAACCAGCCACCATGACTAAAAGCTCAACCACTACTAGATATCTTATGAATCCTTCTCTTAAATTACAGCCTAACTACAGCAAAACAAATCACGCCATCTCATTTACTAAACTTATGGGTCTTTAACTCTCCCACCTTATGCTCTCATGTCAAGCCTATTTATTTTAACTCCTAATGTTTGTTAGTTTAACAAGTACTCCTCAAAGCCATCGAAACGAGTAAGGGAAAGCACTTCGTCAGCACCTTGGGAAACACTCGTCAGTGCCTAAAGGAAACACTTTGTCAGCGTCCAGGGAAACACTTCGTCAAAAGGAAACACTTTATTAGCGCCCAAAGAAACACTACGTCAATGCCCAGGAAAACACTCCACCAGTGCCTAAGGGAACACTCTAAATACTCCACCAGCACCTAAGGAAGCACTCCACCAGTGCATAGGAAAATACTCCATCAGCACCGAGGGAAGTATCTCATTAGCACTAAAGCACTTCAATGCTAGAAGTACTCAACATAGCACCAGACCAGGCACCCATGAGCTACTTGGAAGAAGAACAAAGCATTCCTAGGATTTGTTTTTCCTTTGGGATGCTTTGGGCCTTGTCCTCGCTAACTAAGTGGGGGACATGAAGGTTTTGGCTTGTCTCTTTATAACACAAGCTCATCAAATTTGACACAAAAACCCCACAACAACTACTAAACACAATTTTTTATTTTACATTTTAGATGTTGGTACGAGACATCTTATCAATATTTTTATTCTCGGATGAAACTACCAAATACATGCTCAAATTATAAAAATTATTTATATTCATAGTTTGGTTCAGTTTTGTTTTAAGCGGTTCTACCAACACGAGAACTAAAACTGAAACCGGTATGAATGATTTGGTCTAGTTCTTGAACTTACATTGACTTTTTTTGGTCAACACAGTTTTAACGGTTTATTTTGTCGCGGTTCGATTTAGTTTCATGGTTTCATGGTTTTTATGCCCACCCCTATGGTTTATAGTTGGAAGAAATTTTGGTTTAGCATGAGCATTTTGGGTTAGGGAGAAAATCTAGGCAACGTTTTCTTTTTCTTCTGGTGGAGGACAATGGAGTTTGGGGTTACTCGGGAGAACTGAGCAAAGCTCTTCATTATTTTTCAAGTTTTTTATTTTTAATCTTATTTTTCATTAAAAGGTAATTTTTTAAATGACAAGAAACCCTCTCAAAATCCATTCAAATCTTTAATCAAAGTCTATAAGAATCCTTGAAAATCCATTTGAAATCTACAATCCTATCAAATCTTCACTTTAAAAAGTTTTAAAATCCTTCTAAATCCTCATTTGACTACACCTCTTTTAGATTTGATAGTATTTCTTTTTCCTAATAATATGTTTATTCCTTTACTTGACATAGTGTGATCAAAACCTTCTCTTATTCTAGAACCTGTTGTTTTTAATTTGATTTATTCACGTTAAATGCCAAGCCAAAAATAAAAGTCTGTATACATGGAAACAGTTGTACGTGGAAATTCTCATTATTTGTCTTTTTTTTTCTTTTTTTTTATTTATTATTTTATGTTTAATGCTAATAGAACTAGTATTTGTTAAGTAGTCTTCGTAGGAATAATATTATTACATAATGTTGATATTAAATCACTTATATACCTAATATGCAAGGAGAATTTCAACCTTATAAAGTTAAAAAATAAATAAATAAATTCTAAATACACCTCAAATGAATTTTAATGTGTATATCTCAAGATTATTTATCTTCTTCAACTCTCAAAACCACTCACCTCCCTTGTAGAACAACACTCTAAGCAATGAAACTACTAACACCTTATTGAAAAAAAAAATTTTGATGAAAAAAAAAAAATTTTTTTGATGAATAAAAAATAAAATATGAACAGAAAATTTTATCAAATTTAGTTTTTGATAATATACATTCCTCCAACATTTCTTATACCTTCATGTAGACATCAAGATCATGGACGGAGCCATCTTAGGCCCAGAGGGGTGGATGCCCCCACTCAGTTTTTTTATACACAAAAAAATGTACATGCTTGTGACATTATTAAGGTGTATAACTAGTTTACATGTTTGTGGCATTAGCATTAACTCTTCCAGTGCAACTGCCAAAGTTGAAAGAGCATTTTTGGCCATGAAATTTTTGAAGAATCAATTGAGAAATTTTGGTTGGGGGGGGGGGGGTAGTGTGGTATCAATGGATGAATGATAACATGTTTATTTTATATGGAGAGATATTTGATAGTATTAGTAATGAAGTTGTCAGGCAACATTTTCACAACATGAAAACGCGTTGAGGAATATTGTAATATATTATATCAAAAATCTTATGCTTAATATGTAAGTATTTTGTAGTAAATTCTTTAGCTTTTTATTTTGTGAATTTGTTGTTTAACAATGCCCTAATCCACACAGATTGCTGGCTTCGACTATGATCAAGATCATGTTCACGAATGATATTTGCAGTCTTCTCCCTCCTTGATAATTCTACCAACATTTCTGAAAACGAAATTCCAATGCAAATAAGCTTAATTCGGATTTTCAAGAATTTCTTCAAAATCTCCCATTACATGTTCGTTGTAACTCACCCCAAAATCTAAAACACAAGCAAATATATCAAACCATAAGGTGGAAAACCCTAGAAGGATCATACTTCATATTTTTCATTGTTTTGGTGATTTCAACAACATCGACATGCTTATAATTGTGTTATGAAGTTAATGGAGAACCAAGTATGCTATGCGTTTCTAGATCACTTTTTGCTACAAAGTCATGGATTCTCAATTTTTTTTAATCTTCCTTATGATGGATTCTCAAATCTAAATCTTCAATTTTTGAAAGGGAGGAGATACAACATAGCAATCAACTCATAATTCGAATATGTGAAGTGGTGGGGTATAAAAATAAAAATACATTGTGAAGTTAAAACTTTTAGGTTTGGCTTTTCTTGTCAAATATTGTAATTGAACCACACACATGCTCAATATAGTTTTAGGTTATACTCTGATTATGGGTTGTTGCTGCTGGAGTAAATGTTTAAGATGTGACACATTTCACCTTAGAAGGTTTGTTCATG